CAAAACACATCTATGTGTCTTCCAACACCATTACTGCTTGTCCAACGAGGTTCTGTATGGTTGTACCTGGGCGGGAAGGCTGCCATCCTGAGGGGTAGGGAGCTAGCTAGTCAAGCATGGAAATTTGTTTTTGCCACCTGTGTCTTCCTCTCACTGCAGTTTTTTTGCAGTGTTTTGTGAAGGAATAGTTCTTAGCTCCAGATACGCAGCTCAAGTTTTTGTGTAGTTAGTATAACGAACTAAAGAAATGTTTGTGTTTCATACTTGCATGTCATGTGTCGGACTTGGCTCTCTATTTAGGTGAGCTTTGCTGAGGGCCTATAGCAAAACTAAAGGAATTGGAATCTAGTAAGCCAAGCAGTGCAACCTGCTCTGAAGGAGGGTGCTGATGACTAGAAATGCCCTTTGAGAGGGCTGAGACCTGAAAACAAGCAGATTTGAACATCTTCGAGAAAGCTCAGTCGCATACAACCTAACAGAAAATTTTGCTGTGTGTATACAAATATTACACTGTACATGTAATATGTGATACCCAAGATGTAAATTTTATTTGGAAAATGTAGCTTTGAGACTCAGCAGAAATGATTCTTTGCCTTCACTTACCTGGACATTCCATTTCCCTTCCTGACTCCATTACCCACTTTAATATATCTGTAATTAGAATCTGTCTTAGGTAATAATTCCTCTTTATTAATTTACAGAAGTGTAATTTTTGTAAGTAATTTTTTTTTAAAGAAAAGTATATTTTGGTGCAAGATACTTTGTAAATAAGGTACTTTTTTTTTTCAGCTGCTGCAAATAGGTTGCTGTCTGTCTTGAGGATCCTTCCATAGAGGACATGGTTTATGCCTCCAGAGTCAGTTCTCTTTTCATATGCATAAATAATTTTATGTTATGAATGGAAAACCAAGCTGTGTCTAGAGAAGTGACTTTGTGAGCAGCTTTGGGCAAACCCTTCACCTGTTAATATCTATCTTCCCATCACTGTTGAATCTATTGCTTCAAATTTAGGGTTATTTATCTGTTAAGCATTTCACGAATATTGTAATGTCACAAAGAAGTGTTGTGTATGAGTCCTTTCTGCATTAGGGGAGGCTGCACTCACTGCTCTTTTTCTGTAGTCATTATTTGAATTGAGCAGTAGTTATAAACTGTTTTTATCCTCTTCAAGTAAATTAGATAAATATAGACTCCGAGAGGAGGATGTTCCATATTCTCCTGCAGTCATGTGGTGGACATCTCAGTAGGGAGGGCATGGCAGTATGAGCTCAGAAAGCAGCTGTTCTGCCCTTGCCATGCAGACTATTCCAGTGGAAATTTCAGTCAGCAGTTTGGCTTTTCTAAGGTTTACAGAATTTTGTCATTCACATTTTTTTAACAGAAAGCATACAGATACAAGGAAAAACAGATTTGCCCACCTTGCTATAACACTTCGTGGATGAACTGATGTCCGCTTCATGTTGGTAAAGTTATTGCAAAGCTTGCTTCATTGGGGAGCGTTTTTCTCTTGTACACTTTTTTTGTTGTTCTTGAAATGAAAGTGTTTAGAAGCTAGCTTTAATATCTTCTTGGAAATTAGCTTGGAATAATTACCATTGATGCATTGAAAAATGGAATTAGGAGCTAACATATTGGGCAGGAAAAATAGCAATTTTTTTTGGATGGAGGAAGCAACTGGACCACACGGGCAATTAATCTGATAGTGCCTCCTCCACTGCTTCTCTCTGGTACAGAAAAGGTTTTTTCCAGTGGAAATTAACTGTGTTTGTAAGCAACATGTAATCAAAACAAGTAATCAAAATCCCTCCTGAAACAAAAGATTCTGAAACCAAAAAAATGTCAAATAACTCCCAAATAATTCTATCAACGTTTATTTCAATCCTTTTAAAGCTTTCTGTATGTTCTTTCTGTTCCTGTAGTGATAGCTATGGTTTGCTTGCTCTTAGGATCTTGAAGACTTGTGAGCAGATGAAAGGGATTGTATGCTTTTGGTGTGTCAGGTTTGATAGCAAAGCCTTAAGAGAATTTATCTTTAAAGACTGTTGTCTTTTGAAAAAGGATGCTGTTTTTCATAGATTTTTTTTTTCCTGAAACCCTTTCTTTCAGTTTCTATTTTAAATATAGAATATTTCCATATTTAATAGTGGTCTGGAGGTGATCTCACATATCATGAGGACATTATTGAATAGCCTTATTGGAACATTGCTCCCTAGACACTATTATTAGTGTAGTAGCTGAGAGAGATATGAGCAGCTGCTGAGTTTTGTTCTGAGTGCCTGGGTGGGTGTGTTGGGGAGGCATTCCCAGTGACAAGCAGGGGCACTAGGGGATGCCAGGAAGGAATTTTGATTGAAAAATAGTTGACATGAGGTCAGGGGTTGGTGATTCTCTTCTCTCTCTGAGAGGTCTGAGTAGCGTAACTTTTCAGATGATTCCTGCCATAGTCAGCAGAAATTGCTGCCTTCTTCACCTCATTTGGTGTCTTTAGCTGCCTTTCTGGTGAGCGTTTATAGAGCAAACTCAGGTGAATGTTCAAGTTTGAGTATCAGGGATGAGCAGCAAAGGTCTTACAGGCATGGGTTTTAGCACATGCTACCATGGAGACATGCTCGTGGTTCCTAAGAGATTTTGGGATAGAGCTGCAGGACAGAACAATGGCTGAATCAAGTCCTCTTTGAAGTATGTACCTCTAATTCCTTGCTAGGCTTTGAAAAAGATATGCTCAGACCAGTGTTGCCAGTGCCAGTTGAATTTTTAGTCACAGCAGAACAATTAGAAGGGGGAAAGACATGTATGTACTTTGTGGCTCTGTAAAACAGTGGGTAGATTGATGTCAGTATTTAGTAATGTCAGAGGAAGAGAGCACCTCAGTTCTCTTTTGAGGAGGGTTGTGGTGGGGTTGCTTGCTTGCTTGCTTTCTTTAACACACTTGCTTATTCCCTGTTGCTTTGCTTCCAGAGAGGGACCCATTATACTGCTCTCTAGTGCAGCTTGCCTCAGCCTTTTCTGGTGTTGTATTCTCTAACCTTTTCCAGGGGGAAAAAGAAAAAAACCATACTGTTTTGTATAACATTATAATATTGCATAATATTGAATTGTAGCATTCATTTATTGAGCATTATAGAGTAAATTTGCTAATTTGTTTTCCGTTTCCCTTGTGTTTTTTGTTTGCTTAAACTGTGGATTTGATTTCTGGCAGTCACTTTTCCCAAATTGCCTTTTGATACTTCATGGACTTGTCATGGTTTTTGGATCAATGCCCATGGGAATGTTTTAGTGGTATGTGCAGTATAGGGAGCTGAGAATTCCTCGGTGTAGTAAACAGTTCCATTAATGTTTGTTTTCTTAAGTTATAATGATATTTGTCTGTGAGCTTGTTTAATGTTTGTTTTCATTTCAAGGAGAAACATAGTTACAGCTGTAAGTGGGTAATGAATGTGAATAGAGGGAATTGAGAGTTGTTGTTTTGTGTCCCAGGAAAATGAAGCATGTCTGTCTGGCAATGACTAATTCTTCTGCATACACTTAGTGATACCAGATACATAGGAATTTGAGTCAAAGGGAAGTTCCTTGCTTTGCACTATACTCCTGCAGTGAACATCTTGGTGTGGTTGGGATTGATTGCATGAAGCTCCTTATTTAAGGTTGCCACTAGAAAAACTCACTAGAAGGATTAATGTGCGGGAAATGTCATCAGGAGAATTAAAGGTGAGTTCATTTATTTATGATCAGCCAAGTCACAACCCATTTTAAAGTCTTGCTAATGTTTCCTGTGTTCTATTTGTAGCACTGTGTTTTTTTGTCAGGTAAATATATACCTATTAAAACACATTAATATGAGATTATTCTTAAAAATAAATAAACAAAGTGCTTAACCTATATAGCACTTAAAAATCTGAAGTGTGTAAAGCATTTTAGGTGGGAACCTTTCAACATCCTGTACAGTAGGTTGGGCTGTGGTTCTGTTTACACATGGGTGAAATGACAGGCCAAGTGATTAGATAGGATTGCACATCAAGCCCTCATTGGAGATGGAGTTAGTTATTAGGAGGCCCTGATGTTTAACCTTTTTACCCATGCATTGGCATATTTTGTTTTGTAAGACAGCTTGGAGATGTTGGTATTGTGCTGTGAGTTGTGAGAGTTTTGCCCATTGAATTCCCTAACCAGAGATCAGAACTGTTTTGGTGTAGGTTCTTGCAGATTTGAAGGCATGTGTTGGATTTCAAATGCTCAGTTTAACCATGCAGTCATGTTAAATGTTCCAGTGAGGTGGTGAACCAATCTGTTTGATTCTTTGTACCTTCTGGAATATTAAGGACATGGGACTGTTCTTACCTTGGTGCTCTGATAGAATTGGGGATGTTTTGGCTTGTGCTGCTTGGAAATGTACCCCAATGCCATCAATTGGTTCAGGGCAACAATTTACACCCACTGCACTAGTCGCAATAGAGTGGGTTTGGCTTGTCCAAACCTCACCTTGTGCCCAGCAGCCCGCTCAGGCTGAAAGTGCAGGTGGCTGTGCCACCCTGTGCCCATGCAGGAGTGTCCACTGGCTCCATGCTGCCTCTCTGCTGCTCCTGGCTTCAGTCTGCCTCTCAGGGAGCCAGAGCCAGCTGCACCCTTTGAAGCTCACCGCCAGTTTTGACTCCATTTTCTCCTTTTCCTATCAGTGACCCTACCCAGCTTAGTCCCTGCCTTTACAGATGGTTACTACTGACACCAGTCCTAAATTTAGCCCTAAATTTTTCCTTCTGATCCCATCCTTAGTCCTAATTTGGTGATTGTAGCCTTTCGCAGATACAAGCCAAGAAAGGAAATTTTCCCCAACGATGCTAACGTCTCTCATCATCTGGTAAACCTCTGCTGAACCCAGCAATGAGTATTCCTGCTGGCTGCTATCCAGCCCTAAAAGTAATTGACTGAATTTTTGGATCCTTCTCTTTCTGTCTGTTGACAGTGGTAACTAATAACAAGAAAAAAAAAAATCAAAAAAATCTGAAAGCCTTGCAAGTGAATTCTAGCTCAAGTCTTGCCTTAACACAAAGCAGGTGGCTCCCACTGAACTGCTAAATGAGGCATGAACTAAATCTTACTTGGGTCCATTGTTTTATATTGATTAATTATGGAGAAATGTCTTAGAGTAGTGTGAATCTTTGGAAACCAGGGGTTTACATAATGTATGTAAAGCCAGTGTGCCTTTTATTTCCACCAAAGGGAAAGAAGATAAATTGAGAATCAGGAAGGATTTGGGGTTTTTCATGGTCAACAGTCAGCAAGCCAGCTTAACTGTAAGTTGACAATAGTCAAAGTTTTCAATTTTTAAGCTGTTTTTGTATTAGTAATTTTACTTGTGTTATAAAGCATTTTTTTTATCTCTCTTACTCATAAGGACAAGAGGATGGTTGTGCTTTGCAGTTGACATCAGACCAAGGACACAAGAAGTCTGTTCATGCAGAGGTTCCCGTTTACAGATGCCTGCTGTGGGACTGAGACATATCAGGGGAAGATTCCCCTCCTCCTTCCCACAGCCATACTTGAGAGAGAGAACACAATTCCTTTTCTTTTCCCTTTGTATCCATATAGCTGGTTGTATGTGAACTATTTGTCTCATCTGTCTTGATGGCACTTTAATTAAAGTTTTGAATACTGAAGGATTAGATAATGATTTTATACATCTTTTACTGAGAGAAATTAATTTTTGTGGGAAAAACTCTCTTCATTTACCTGGCTGTAATTAGGAGGTCACCATCCATTTTCTGCCCTCAGTTCTATATAATCTGTGCAACTGTGAGCACTGTTCAAAATTTACTGTACTATCTTTGTCTGGGAATTTTACACTGGTCATTGGTATGTTTTACTTTGTTTTGGTGTAAGTTGCTGTGATGCAGAAATAGGGAGGATCAGCTTGTGATACTCCTGTTTGGTTTTATTAAGTGCCTGTTACTGCTAACTCTACTCTCTAAATAAATTTGAGATAAAATCACTTGTTTTGAAAGAGTGGGCTGGGCTGGAGAAAAGCCATTATATTTTGCTGTAGGTTTTGGCCACAAGAACTTCTCAAAGTTCTCAAAGTCTTCTCAAAGGAGTGAATTTGATCTTATTTCTATTTTTCTTTAAAGGTTTCTTTCTCATCAGACTCTGCTTCTTCACATCCCAGGGCATCTCTTCTCTCTCTTGCATCACCCCAGAATTACACAGTACTTTGGTGAACATTCTTGTGGTCAGGAACATATGTTAATACAGGTTGCACTTCCAGCTTTGAATGTACCTTTAGAGAAGATGAAAAAGTAAACAAATACTTGACAGTACTGAAGACCCATGTTCACCTGAGCACACGTTTCTGTTTGGAGC